AAACTGCACCATCCAGCCTCTGTAGTGAAGCTTTACAGACAGCATGTTTAGAAATACTGCACCATCCAGCGTCTGTAGTGAAGCTTTACAGACAGCATGTTTAGAAATACTGCACCATATAGCCTCTGTAGTGAAGCTTTACAGACAGCATGTTTAGAAATACTGGTTTCGTATTAGAGGTAATAATAAAAGTGGTAAACTACAACTGTTATATTGGCTTCTAATGCTCTGCCATCTTATGGCACTCAAACCATAACTTTTAATGATAAGTTACTATCTTTTAATATAAGGTTTTCTTCAGCAAAGGGATGGAATTTGTTGATCCAAGTCCTTGATACGTGAGTTTCACCCAAATCAGGTCTTTTACCATTTAAGAAATAAGTAAAATAAAGATACTGAAAAGAAAACATATACAGAAGATTTATACATATAAATATAATATGTGTATCGTACCTGAAGAAAACAGACCAATGTTTTGTCGAAACATGTTGTGTGTTCCGCCATAACTAAAACTTTTCTTTGTGCTTATAAATTATTGTTAGCTTTCTTTGTATTATACATACATATTTATAACACGAAATAATTATTAATGATAAGCTAGTTATCTTACAGAAGAATAATTCTCTTGCCTGTAGCAGTCCCAAAGTATCAACCATTTGTTAGTCTTCAAAAGTTAATGTTGGTGGTCTGCAGAAGTAAGAACAATGTTATATTTGTTGAGGATGTTACTGGAGGAAGGAAATGGTGTTTATCAATTTTCAGAAATGATAAGGTGCCACATAAAAAGTTGATCAATAAAGTCACATCAGTGTGGGTTGAGGAACTACTTATTAATTGGATATTTGGGTGGTTGGATGGGAGAAACCAAAAGGATGTTATAAGTGTAGTCCAGTCAAACTGGATCCTTGTGGGGCACATGCTTCGGCCTTTGATATTTATATGAATCATATTGATAGGGCATAATTAGTAACTTAATAGTTTTCTGATACCGTAAACTCTTGGGTATTTCTAGCTGTATTGAGGATGAGTTGGATCAATTAATGAGTTGGACAAATATTTGGAGAATGGCCTTTGATTGTAGTAAGTGCAAGATCTTTGAACTTAGAGAAAAGAGGGAAGAGAGGTATTCCTTTAGGAGTTTTCAAGATTATCTGGGGAATCGTTATGATAAAGGTGTCTGATTCTTTGTGGTATGTTCAAGATTATCTGGGGGATCCTTATGATAAAGGTGTCTGGTTCTTTGTGGTATGTTCAAGATTATCTTGGATATTATTATGATAAAGGTGTCCGATTCTTTGTGGTATGTTCAAGATTATCTGGGGGATCCTTATGATAAAGGTGTCTGGTTCTTTGTGGTATGTTCAAGATTATCTGGGGGATCCTTATGATAAAGGTGTCTGGTTCTTTTTGGTATATTCAAGATTATCTTGGAGATTGTTATGATAAAGGTATGTGATTCTTTGTGGTATATTCAATATTAACTGGGGGATTGTTATGATAAAGGTGTCTGATTCTTTGTGCTATGTTCAAGATTATCTGGGGAATCATTACATTAAAGGTGTCTAATTCTTTGTGGTATATTCAAGATTATCTGGTGAATCATTACATTAAAGGTGTCTAATTCGTTGTGGTATATTCAAGATTATTGGGGAATCATTATATTAAAGGTGTCTAATTCGTTGTGGTATATTCAAGATTATCTGGGATATTATTATGATAAAGGTGTCTGATTTTTTGTGGTATAATCTAAATAGGACACAAGTATAAGATTTGGAAAAGGAAAGCTAGTCTCCAGTTAAAACATTTTTATTTTTTTAACAGAGTGATTGACTTATAGACTGATTTGCTTTCAGGACTAGCAGTTGCCAGCACCTTACAGGAGCTTAAAAAAATAGATGATTTTGTGAAAATTAAAGGGTAGGTTTAAATTTTTACCAAATGATCCCTTTTTGGCCTGTAGGCCGTATCACATTTTCATGCCATACAGAAGGGTCTTAGTACAATATCCCATAAACCATTGGTGAACTAAGTCAAAATGACCATTCTAAATAACATGTCAAATTTAGAGAACCCCCAAATCATATAAACTTATACACGTATATAGGTAATTTCTAGAGATGGGTTTGTCCAAAGGAATGGACACAGAAACAGGGCTAAACAGGTACAAGCTTCTTAGAGATAACCATTACCAAGTATAATCTTTACTCAAAAAGAAAATAATGACCTTTCAACATTAAGCTTACAGTGATGTCTTTAATTGCATAACATCTACAAAAACATTTAGAAAAATTACATGAATATACCTTACTAAAGATGTATTCTAAACTAATTATTAAAGAATGAAATTACCAGTTACTTCAATTAAAAAAGTGTTTCTTGTGCATCTTGATTCTGTTTTTTTTTGTTTTTGGAAACTGTATTTTTACTGAGGCAGTATTACAAGTTGTATGTACAATATAGTTTAAAACTGATACAATAGGAATGGATATCTGTGTACTGTACAGTTAACACTGATACAGTATGATTAGATACATATACAGTATAGTTAACACTGATACAATAGGAATGGATATCTGTGTACTGTACAGTTAACACTGATACAGTATGATTAGATACATATACAGTATAGTTAACACTGATACAGTAGATTAGATACATGTACAGTATAGTTAACACTGATACAGTAATACTGTACATGTATCTAATCATACTGTATCAGTGTTAACTATACTGTACATGTATCTAATCATACTGTATCAGTGTTAACTATACTGTATATGTATCTAATCATACTGTATCAGTGTTAACTATACTGTAGATGTATCTAATCATACTGTATCAGTGTTAACTATACTGTAGATGTATCTAATCATACTCTATCAGTGTTAACTATACTGTATATGTATCTAATCAGTATCAGTGTTAACTGTACAGTACATGTATCTAATCATACTGTATCAGTGTTAACTAGTATGATTAGATACATGTACAGTATAGTTAACACTGATACAGTATGATCTGATACATGTGTATAGTATACCATGATATACTGATTCTCTGAATATCAATTTCTTTGTATTCTCTAGACAAGTGGACAATGAAATACTGAATATTCTGAAACAGAGAAGGGATGACTGTTTGCTTTACGAAAACCCAGACCACCAGGTTCGGTGTAAGAAGGTTTTGGATGATTATGCAAAAGCTGCAGAGAACTGGTTTATAAAATGTAAGTACATTTAAACTGTAGAAGAGGTTAGTTTGGGAGAATTTGGTTTTCTCTTCTTGATCAGTTGAAATACATGAATACAATGAAAAATCTTTCAACAGACTTAGATATGTTCTGTTAATTTACTTTAAAATTTCTGATATGTTCTGTTAATTTACTTTAAAATTTCTGATATGTTCTGTAAATTTACTTTAAAATTTCTGATATGTTCTGTTAATTTAATTTAAAATTTCTGATATGTTCTGTTAATTTAATTTAAAATTTCTGATATGTTCTG